TACTACTTCTACAACAACAACAACTACTACTACTACTACTACTGCTGCTACATCTACCATGCTGATGAAGCAGAAGATGGACATTCGCCCGCTTCGTTTTATCAACATCTTCAAGGCCATGTTTGTCATTATGGTTGTCGTCATGGCCAAGACATCGCAACAACTACTGCCGCTGTTAGTATTGCTTCTGCAGCTGGTGTTGGGGGAACTCGTCGTAGGCGGGTTGCTTGACGCTAATTTTTCAGCGCTTCAAGATCTCAGGAGTTCATGCGTCCGAAGTTATTCGATTGGCAAGCTATTCGAAGGGCTTAGGGCAGGCTACGTCGATTCTGTAACCGTGTAGCCCCCAACCACCGAAGCCCGGAGCTTTACACCCCGAAGCAGCCACCTGATCCCTTTCTTGCTCTACCTGGGCAGAGTTCAGGTCATTTCGGGGTCTTAGGATTTATTGTAGGTCTTGGTCGCTTGGCGGTCATGATGGCGGCCGAGGGCTATAAGGTCGAGGCCAACGAGACTCGGCAGGCACAGAGGGCCGACAGACCAACAGCAACAACAGCAGCAGCAGCAGACCATGTTCATACGAGTCCGTGGTATTTCTTCTTTGTTGCAAGCCTGGGTTGAGCACAAGGCTAGTGCTGCAACGGCTGGTGCTTTCCTGTTTGTAGGTTACGCGCTGCGGCTGCTTCGGTGCTTTTGCATCTGCCTGCAGCTGCAGTAAACTTCGCAAGCGTTTGCAGGGGCTGTATAACCAAAAGTGGGACGAGCACCCAAGTTCTAAGAAGTTCTAAGTAGCAAAATGCTTCATTATGAGTCTTGAAAACCAGGAGCATGTGGCCTACATTCTCACGAATGGGCACCACAAGTGTAGGTGAAGGAAGGCGACAGGTACTTCAAAGGTCCTAAGCCCGAAGCCTCGAACTTGAAACTCCCGCATGTTGAATCCCTTGGCCCTTGCCGTAAGCCTTACATACATCCAGAAAACCCTAAACCCTGAACCCTGAACCCTTTAAAAAAATAACCCTAAACCCTCAACCCTAAACCCTATGCCTAAACCCGAAAACTCCAAGCCCCGCCTCGGAGCTGCATGCTCAAACTCTTGGAGCCAGACTCAGAGACTTTTGAGTGTGCTTCTCCCGAGGATGCCTCGCGCTTGTTCCTGACATTTGCTGACTACTTTTTGAATAGAGCATCCTGGCTGCAGCTGTTTTCTTTTGGGGATTTGTAGGGTCTAGGGTGCAGTGCTCAGTGTTGTGGGTTTTTGACTTCGCACACAGGTCGAACCTGTGCTTTCTCCCCGTCTGTGTATACAGCTGGGTGTAGTCTTTCGAGAGCGGTTTGTATCAGCTGGAATGAAATCAAGTCATGTAACTCACGATCCGAGTGTCTTCAAGCAACATATTACTATGGTATAAGAGTGCACCGCAGCGCAATCGCGATATGCCGACATGCCTCAATTTTAGGCCTCAGTAGTGCAGTTTGCTGCAAAATAATGCGCGGTTATTCCTAAGTTTATCTTGTGCGCTGGGATGCGATTATGTACACTTGCATGTGCTACTGCAGGGATACATATTTTGCACAGCTATGATCACCATCATTTACACATGCGCAGATGTCCATGTGCCTATTCGTCTCGCATACTTGCGTGCATGCAGGGAGCACAGGGCCCATTGGATGTAGTGTGCAGGACTATATGCAAAGCAGAGCACTCTCCGTTGCCAGGTTCTGCATGTGCATGGTGTGGAATCTGAAAGCTCTGTCGTGCTTCAGCCCAGGTGCCTTCATCGGGACACCAGCTGTTCCCACTGGCGCATGTGTTCTCGGAGAATCACGGCCACTAGCCTGCGGCAGGAATCTCAAACCCTTAGCACTTAGTAACCCTAAACCCTAAATCCTACCCCCCAAGTTTGAGCCACCAGCTACAACAACGAAGAACTCGACTAAACAAAACCAAGGCCCTGAAGTATTGGAGCTCCTAGGCTGGTGAATTTGAAGAGCAGACCTTAAACTTTACACCCCAAAAGCATGAACAGAAGTGACTTGCAGGTTGTTGGGGTCTAGTTGGGGTCTAAGCTAGCCTAAGAGGGTATTTGCTTTGATACTTTATGTCTGGGGTGCTGTAGGGCGTTGCGCGGTAGTTTGGGTTTCACTTCGCCACTATCATAGCAACATGAACGTGCCCAAAGCCATAGCCAGCACCGTAGGGTTCTCGGAGAGCCCGATAACTTTACCTAGAAACAGGGAATATACCTTGAAGTTAAAGGGGCCCATCATTATGCTTTAAGCATTTTGGATATACTCCTCCATGAAGGGGTTGTTTTTGCGATCATTCCTTTGGTGTTTCGGTGCCAAGTATGGTGGCGACGATGATTGCTTTGAATATAACAGCAGATCACTGGCAGCTTTCAGTGTCGTCACTGTTTTTGCTAATGTTGCTGCTGCTGCTGCTACTACCACCACTACCACCGCCTTACTACTCTCGCTACTGCTGCTGCTGCTGCTGCTGCTGCTGCTGCTGCTACTAGTACTACTACTACTACTACTACTACTACTACTACTACTACTAGTGCTACAACTACAACTACCACTATCTGCTGCTACCGCCACGTGGACGACTACTACGACTGCAACGACAACGACTACTGCTCCTGCTACTCCTGCTGCTGCTGCTGCTGCTGCTGCAGCTACAATGACGACTGAATATGTTGACTGCCCTGAGCCCTATACCCCGAACCCTGAAGTCCTCGACCCCCAACCGAAAACTTTTTAAACCCAAAAAGATGACCCAGGTCACTTTACGCAATACATGGAGATGAATGTTCCGAGCCTGCGGGCGGAGTCTTTGGTCTCCTCTGATCCGGTCACAGGGAGGCGCGAGTCGGGGATGTTTAGGGTTTAGAGTTTAGGCCCGTGGGTCCAAGCCCGGAAACCTTTGGCCTTAAGGCGAGGCCAAAGTGCGAAGCAGCCCTGATCCCCAACGTTAGCACGCGAAGCCTTACGCCCTTCAGCCACGAGGCCTCCCATCGTCCTGGTGCCCGGCGACTTCATCAAGACTTACGAGGCGTCGGGATCGTGCGTGTTAGACCCAGGGCTGGGGTGGCTTAGGATCTGCTGGAGAGCATGCCCCACACTCATCCAGGACAAGCCCGATGTGCTGATTCATCCTTCTTGCGTGTCATGAGAGATGTTCGACAGCCTTATGAATCACCCGCGCAGGTGGGTGTCTGTGTGTGTGTGTGTCCTTGTGTGAGTGCGTTTCCTGCCACTCTCTCCAATGCTGCTGTTCATTCACAGCAGATTCGTAGCATCAAAAGCTGCTGAACCCCAACCCTTAAACACGCAGCCCTATGACCGACAACCATTAAGGCCTCCTGATCCACAGGACCTTAAAGCCTAAACTTCTCAACTGCAGGCAGGTGGTCCTGGGCACCGGCGGTTCGATGCGGCAGCCCAAGATGGCATGTGCCCCCTTGGGAAGTAGGCAGCGCCGCCGTCGCATGCTCTGCCGTCTGCCCGCAGAGAGCTGGCCCTGACCCCAATCCTCACCCTTCTTTTCCCTTTCCTCCTGGTCATCAACATCATCATTCTCAGCCTCATCACCATCATCACCATCAGGTCACCATCATCATCATCATCTTCATCATCATCATCATCACCACCATGGTCATAATCATCATCATCCCAAACATCATCAAGATCTTGACCAAGAGGATGGTCACCATCACCGTCATCCCCGTAGTAGTCATCGTCATCATCATCATCATCACCATCGCCATAATCATCATTGTCATCATCAGCACGACGACGATTCTGCTCATGGTCATGATGCGGGCGAGCAGCACCGTTCTCATCGTCAGAAGAACTTCTGGTTTGCAGGTTCTGATTTTTCAGCCGTGGGGCATTAAGGCCTTGGTCACCTGCTTCTTCATCGACACGCCGACAGACCCTGTGAAGCTCTTCCAGGCACACCGTCCATGATCTGGCATGCGAGTTCGGAGTTTGTATTGCTCTCAAAGGGGCTCGAATGATGGAATCCGTGGGCATGACCCGGGATCGGGGATGCAAGAGATAGACCACGTCGTGAACGAGGGTTTCCTTTATTAAGAAATAGGAGCCCAAGCCGTTGCCCCAGACAGCTAAGCCCAGAAGGTTGTCTTCTGACTTGGCCAACCCACACCGTGAAATAGGAGCATGAAAAGAAGTTGCACAAGGCCTTGGTGCGAAATTATGGCAGTATAGAAATCCTTATAATTTGTGTGGAATCCTAAATAGCTGTGGACAGCAAAGCAAAGCATCTGGGTAAGGTGATGGATGGACTTCTCGGTGAGGGAGGCGTCTGGGTGAACATAGGGCCGCTGAACTGGAAGAAGGAGGCCCGGCAGACGGGGTCTGAGCAAAGGACCTCTTGTTTTGGTTAGGAAGTCCCGTATGATGTGTGATTTTAGGGTTGCTGTTTGAGTTAACCATGTAGGTACCGGGGTTTGCAAGGGTTTGCAGGTTTGCACTAAGAGCTCCAATGGGCTTTGCAGGGCTCACAGAAACGAGCGTCAGCCGGGTACAATGAGGACCCCAAACCCGCGACCCGTTGGCGCGATTTGGCCTTTTTTGGTCTGCCTTGGGTAGCTTCAGGGTCTAGGGCCCCAGGCTGGCAGATTCCAGGGCCCAGGAGCGACCTGGGCCAAAGAAAAAGGAACACATAGGGTTTAGGGTTTAGGGTTTAGGAAAGCCAAGAATTCGTTTAGGCAGGCTCGTGGGCCGGTCCTAGGGGGCGAGGCGGGCGAGGGCCCAAACTTAATTTTGAGCGACCCTCGCAGGGCAGGAGGGGCGGATTGTTTGTTGGAAGCCTTTTCTTCTGGTTGAGCGGCCGGCATCCACAATCCGACACCGATCCATCTCAGCCGTGGTTTGCTGTGAAGTGTGGGTGTTTTTGTATGTAGAACCACGAAGGGAAGCAAAGAGCAAGAAAACTCGCCCTTGAAGGGGTTTGGGGGTGAACCCCAAACCCTAGTTGAGAATAGTTGGGGTGGTGGAGGCGAGGGCCTGTGGATTTCGCCGTTTCACGGTCTTGCTTTGCAGCCTGCTTTGTGGTTGTCGCTCAGAAATTTCCTGCTTGGCTTGGGGTTTAGGGTTTAGGGTTTAGGGGGTTTAGGGTTTAGGGTTTAGAGTTTAGGGCCGGCGCGGGTATAGTTTTTCCTTTTTGGTTTAAGGGCCTACGGATTTCCACGCTGCTGGAGGTTGGGCGTTCACGGGCGAGTCATACTTTGAATGCTTCAACTTTGCCAATCCAGTCTTTAGCGGACATGAGTTGACAAAGAATAAACTACAAGTTTCTGTGCCCCAGGAGCAGAATTGCATGAATAAACGCACGAAGGAGGGAGTAAGTTGGGACGAACGCTTGAAGCTGAGCTTTGGCGGGTTGGCAGGATAGCCAGCTCGATAGCTGTGGAGGTCTGTGGTGTGCGAGTTGCCCTGGTTGGATACAGGTCCGGATTCAGGGAAAGTCAATACAGGAGATTGTTGACAGGGTGCGGCCGACTTGCAATCGCGTGATGATGTGCGGCTCTTCGCGTGACAGTGATGTGCAGCCCACCTTTCCCTTACTTGCGCATCTTCATGCTCGTCTCGCTAGTGTTCGCAACAATGCAGGGATGAAGACCAGAAGAATGAGAGAAGGAGTAGTAGGAGAAAGAGGAGCAGTAGCAGTGGTCACGGTCGTGGTCGTCGTGCCGTGACTGAGGTCCTGCATATTTGTCTGTTTTGGGGATGCGCGAAGAAGACCGTGGCTGTCAGTGACTGTGATGATGTTTTCGCAGCTAGCTGAGCTATCAGCTGCCGGATATTCCTGGAAGTAGTATCCTGGAGCTCATCATGGCGGTTATCGCTTTCGCATCGTCGTCGTCGGCGGGGTCGTGTTGCTGCCGTGGCGCATCCTGCCATCGCTGGCTTTGGTGTGCCATCTGTCGCAACGCCTCACATACTGTGCCTTTGTCCAGCATACCATGGGCTGCGGAGGGGTCTCAGTCTTTAGGGTGTCCGAAATTTCGAGACTGGGGACCCACGAGCGTAAATGAATTGTTGAGGCTTGGGCCCCAATTGAGAACAGTTCCAGGGGGTTGGTGCTGGACTACGCTGAGTATCCCTTAGGGCCAAGCCTAAACCACAGAACACCCCTCTCTTGCACCTAGACTCCTAGGCGCTAGTGATCGCTAGAGTAACCCTGCTCTTGAACCTAAAACTCCTCAACCCCACACCCTCTACTGCACACTAAAACTTCAAAGGCCCAAACTCTGGCTAACATCCCCTAGTTAAACCCCCAAACCCTGAACCCTTAGCCCCAAACCCTTAGGCCTAAACCCTAAACCCCAAGC